TTTTTTTTTTTCAAATAACCATAGATAAATAATAAATAACTACAAATTAACATTTTAAAAAACTTTGGAGGCCAATTTTAATTTCTCTATACAAATTCACCATTAAAAACTATAAATAATTATTAGGGTAAAATTCACTTACCTCCCTTGAAGTTTGTCAATATCCTATGTTTCATAATCTCAATTACCTCCCCCAGTGAGTGACTTTTTATTTATTTATTTATCATTTTTACCCATAAAACGTTTGTCATCGTTTCAAACATTAGAAGTGCAAAATGGTCAGATAGAGAGAAATCTGTTACATAATTCAGAACCTCATGGGTGATAAGTAAGATTATGAAATATAAAGAGGTCTATGTGAGATATTGATAAACCTCAAGAGAGGTAAGTAGAATTTACCTAATTATTATTAATTGAGTTTTGAGAAAATTTTGAAGGAGTTAACTTTAATTTTACTACACGAGATTACCATTAATAATTATAAATAATTACCATACATATATAAAACACATACATACATATGTATGAGAGGCATACCCTCGTACATATTAAATGGTGGCAATAAAAAACAAAGTAATGGAGTAGTTGTTCCAAGTCAATAGTCCAGAATTGGGTTCTGGGTCAGAATGCAAATTTGGTTCAAACACTTATACAATGAGCCTCTTCAAAGTTACCGCCACCTTCAGAACTAGTTTCACATTGACCTGACTAACAAACTAGTTCTAAGCAGTTACGTTATACGAAAATAATTGAATACAATATAGAAAGTCTTGGCACTTTATTGAAGAACAAACAAACTAGTTCTAAGCAGTTACGTTATACGAAAATAATTGACCACATAATTACCTATACGGACATTTGACTTATTAATTACATAATATAAATTCTAAATAGAGTGGAATGAAAACGTAAAATTCACGTGACATGCAATGAAGTACCAAATTTGAGCAAATATGATCATAACCGTATGTATATATACACACATATATATATAAGCTGCCAGTGATGATTTTTTGATAACTATGAATGTGTAGTATAATTTTTGGCCCACTGCCAGCCGTTGTAGTGTTAGAAGTAGGAGGTAATTTGTGACACATTATTTTGATGAGAGATTGAGCAAAGTTGAGCCACACGCTGTCAGTGCGAATGCCTCGAAAATTAATGATTCAATAGCAACAATTTTGAGAGAAAGATGTGACGGGAATATGGAAGTTAGAGAGTTCATAAATGAAGGAGTAACAACTTATATACTGCTTTCTTCGTCTTAAAATAAGTATTACGTTGTTTTTTTTTTTTTGACGTGGTAGGAGTAAAATATAAGAAAAGAGAATAATTAATTAATAATCTACTCTCTGCAATAAATGTGTATATGATAGATAAAACTGAAAATCTAACTAAAATATACTACATTTAAAATTTATAAAAAAAGTAGGATATGAAAAATTATCACAAAAAACTACTAAATATAAAAAATTTGAGTATGTTTTAGTAGCTTTCAACGATGAAGTTTTCAAAGTACGAGACGGTGAAAAATTAACGCCTTTTTGGGATATTAAACGAGGAGTTTGGTCGAAAAATCGTTTATTTCACGACCATATATAGCCGGTGTGTATTGGTGGTGGGACTTGGATCTTCTAAGATAAATATTTTTTAAGTTATTCTAAATTGAATTCGCTACAGATTGAAACATGACATTTAAAATCAATCTACCAACACGTTTTAACTTCATTATCTCTCCCTCATCTAAGTTAAATATTTTTAAAATTATTCTAAGTTGAATTCGTTGCATATTGACACTTCTATATATATATATATATATAGGGCTTTTGGTTATATTTTCCTAACTCCATCAATATATATATATATTTTCCAATCATTATTGTTATCGGTAAAAGTTGCGAAATATTTACCCAATGGAATGAGTAAGAGGAGGGAGGGAGGATTTTTTTTTTTGAAAAGTTGAGGGAGAGATAACGACGTTAAACATAGTTAGAGTATGGTGAATTTTTCTTAATTCACAACGGTATAATTTTTAAACTTTGATAAATTTTCTTTTATATCAAAATGGTGCAGTTTTCAAACTTTCTTTAAATTAGTTGACGTGGTTTATCGCAGCAGTAACACTTAGGATAACTTATGGAATATTTAACTTACATCATCCAAGTCGAAAAGACAAACATAGACCATTCGGACTTGTTTAAGATAAAAATAAAGAGGAAAGAGAGGGATGATCTTTTTTTGGAAAAGATGATGGAGAGATAATGAAGTTAAAATGTCTCTAAATTAGTTGACGTGATTTAAAAACCAGGCGCGAAATATTCCCCAATGGAATGAGCAAGAGGAGAGAGGAAGAATTTTTTTTGAGAAGTTGAGGAAGAGATAACAACAATAAACCCGTAATTAGAGTATGGTGACTTTTTCTTAATTCAAAACAGTACAATTTTTACATTTTGGTAAATTTTTTTTATCTGGTGCAATTTTCAAATTTTCATTAAGTTAGTTGACGCGGTTTAACACCAGATTTTAAATGTCACGTGTCAATGGATAACGAATTCAACTTAAAATAACTTAGCAAATCCAAGTTTTAGAGAATCCAAGTTGGAGAGTAACCTTAATTGGCAAAAGCAAAGCATCTTTTTTGGGTTAAATCTTTCCACACAGAGGAAAAAGAATTATATATATATATATATATATATATAATATTATGATGTTAATATATATTATGATATCATATGTTTCACGAAAAGGTTAAGAATAAATTAAATTTTATGCACCCTAACATACTACTTTTGAAATTTGACCATTTCTAATATATATATATATATATATATATATAAAAGCCTAACGTATTACAAACGTACACATTGCATATCTGCATTGACCCATAGTTTTTGACAAAATAGGAAGAGGGTGTGCTACCAACTTACAAGTCACTCCTTTGACTCCACAGGAATGGATTCCTTGAGACATAGCACATGGTTTTATAAAATGGCACCATTTTTTTCAATACAAGTCAAGTCATTTTAAAATAAACATTTATTGAACAATACATATAAAAATCATATCATCATGCATGTCATACATTTCATTGATAAAAGCCAAATGGCACATTTTAGAAGAAAAATGCTTCCCAAAAATAAATAAATAAATAAAGGAGGAAGTTGTATTTTCTCAATCATTTGGATTCAGTTATATGAATCATGCTACCATATTTTTGGTTACTAACTTTATTTTCGTTAATTTTGAATTTCATTTTCTTCTAGTATTAGAGCATCTCCAGCAGTATATACACTGCCATATATGATGTATAATTTTTTTTTTTTTAATCTCCAGTACATTGCCACGTCACCGAGTTGTAAAATTATTGTGTATTTTACACAATCATATTAACATATTTTCTTTCTTCTTCTTCTTTTCTCATACCATTAATAAATCAACCTTATATTAAGTAGTTTGTAAAAATTATATGGGGTTCAGACATGACACTAGTTACTTATTATTAGGATGTGGGATCCAGACATGACACTAGTTACTTATTATTGGGGGATATATTTTTACACTAAAGATATAAAAGAACCGTTGGAGTTAAAAATAAATAATTCAACTTTTTTTTTTTTGTGTAAATTTACCATGACACATCATATTTACACAAAAAATATATATATATACACGACCGCTGGAGATGTTGTTACCTTCAATATAGATTATGTCACTTTTTTAATAGATATACTTAAAGTTTTAATTTGCACATGTCCAAATCATCTTAGCCTATTTTCTCTCATTTAATCTTTAATGTAATTATTTCTAATTATATAGTATTGTTTTTTTTTTTTTTTTTTTTATCTTATTGCACATCTATTTTCAATGTTCACAATTTTGCCACACTGACTTTATGCAAATGTTTTTCATATTATTTAATATATTCCATTGTTATCATGACCACGACCACCTATGGTCTCATTTTCAAATGTTTTGAAGTTTCATGTTGTTGAAGGCCTAAAGCTAAATAATAATTTTTTTCTCACATTAGTTATATTGATAAAATACTAATAAATTTTATTTAAAAACGAATCTCCAGACTAACTTGCAATAAATTCAAGAAAATATAAAAATAATATTTATGCTTTTAGTTTAAGAGACCGAGATTTAATTGTCCAAGAAAGTTAATAAATTACCAAGTCCAAAAGAAATTTAATGGTAGAACATGTATTGATATGCAAGAAAATTTAAAAATTAGAATTAGTCCAAAAGGTGTGAAAAAATAAAGTAATTTTAATTTTTTTAAAAAATTTGTATTAATCAATAGAAGAGCAATTGTATTTATTTGATAATTAATACTATAAATAAAGCTTAATCAATAAAATATATAATTAATATAGCGAGGTGACTTGTATGGTCGGTTGCCGCCTTAATTACCAACTTGAATTGACCAAAAAAGGGAGTTGCATTTATTTAGTAATTAATAAAATAAAGAAAACATAATCAATATATTAAAATAATAATTTAGTATAACGAGATGACTTGTATGTCTTAAATAATTGTCTTATGACTGGGCTGTTTTATGTTACCAAATTTCTTAAGTTGCTGTCTTAATTGTCTTATGTTAAGTTGTTTCGTTTCAATTAAAGTTAAATTGAGAGTGGACAATACATTACTATGGCCCAAATATTATTTTTTGGTGAATATATTTATGATAATGTTTATTTACAAGAAATATATATATATATACATTTGTATATATTTCAATATCAAAAAAAAAATGTTGTATAAATTTTGAGCATTGTGATGTCTGTTTAGAAGAACCCATTAGATTCTAAATTCTAATACTTTTCTTGAACTTTGAGACGATTAAGTTTCTTTCCAACTTGGTTGAGAAAAGCATCACGAATCAAATTGTGCCTAAATTCAGGTACAAAATTGATTGCAAATAAAATAAAATAAAATAAAATAAAATCCAACATTTTATCGGGTGTGTTTGGCCCAAAAACATATTACTGTACAACAATCAACGTCCTCATTTGCTAACTTTCAACTTCCATTTCGGGCTCTCTCTCTCCTCTGTGGAAAAACGCGGAGATCTCCCACTTTCTCTCTCTACATACGCGCAAATATTATATTGCCACTGTCCACACGTTCCTTTCACAATGATGTCGTTGAATCGATGCAAATTTCTGGTATTACTTTATTAATTACGCAATAATTAAAAATGCATATACATATAAATATTGTTCGCACACATACACATACACACATACCCACCGTAGATACAGGAAAGTGCTTGGATAAAAATGGCAGAAAAACATTGCACTTTTTGATTCTTTACTACGTGGCTCGTCGTCGTTGACATTCAAAACAGGGTAATTTTTGTCAAATTTTTGGAATAATAAATTCAAAATTCATTGTTTTTCGCTGGTTATAAAAGGTGGGTTTTGTTTTCTTGAGTGTCAAGTGCAAACACAACACCTGTCTGTGTTTTTTGCGTGTGTTGATTTTTCTGGGTTTTCTGTTTTTGAGCTATTTTCGTTCTCAGAGACGAGTTTTGGGTGTGGGTGGAGGACAGAGTGTAGAGAGAGAGATTACGATTGTGACGGAGAGTACATTGAAGGAGATGAGGAACGGTGATTTAGTGGCTGCTAATGGTGTTGCTGGTGGCGTTCGGGACGCGTACGGTGAGGATAGTGCCACGGAGGATCAGCTTGTGACCCCATGGACTGTCTCTGTTGCTAGGTGATAATACTAACAAATCATTGTTTGGATTTATGTGTTTTTTTTGCTTTGTTTTCATTTTTTTATTTTGGGTTGTGCTTATTTTTACTAAATTTGATTTTATTGTTGATGGGCTCTCTTAGCTGTTCTAGGTTTTGGTGATACTTATAAATCAATGCTTAGATTTATGTAATTTTTGGCTTTGTTTTTCATTATTTTTGGGTTGTGTTTATTTTTCCTAAATTTGATTCTATTGTTGATGGGTTCTCTTAGTTGTTCTAGTTTTAATTCACTAGAAATTTAATTTGATTTCGGTTTAGCTTGTATTATTGAAGGCTTTATATTTGTTCATAATTTAGATCACCTGATTTAAATCTATTATTTGCAGCTTTAAATTCCAGTGCATTGAAGTTGGCTGTCTTTATTTTTGCTCTTTTGGATTATAGTTCGGTGTTTCAAGTTTTGTTTTTCCTTTTTTGTCTTTTCCTTGCTAGTTTGTGAATGTATTTGAACTTCGAAGATGTTTCAACTGTTTGAATTTTATTTTTTATTTTATTTATTATTTATTTATTATTATTATTTTTTAAGGCTTATGATAATATTGAAATGTCAGTGTTCAGATCTGACATTACAGTAAATTTTATGGTGGGTAGTAAAATTTTGATTTGTATTTATTCTTTTTCTATTAGTATAGTTGTCTCAACCTTTTCTGTTAAATGAGTTGTTCCTATCTTAATGATATTTTCCCCATTGTAAATTTTTTATTATTGTTTTTGGAATTTTTTTTTTTTAATTCGTGTTTGATTTAAAAGAAAACCAATTTTTTATTTTTATTTTTTATATTTTCTCCCATACAAACGAACAGATTAAAGTAGATATATAAATTATCCCCTCATTTTACTTATGTTGATTTTTCTTTGTTCACAATTATATTTCTTTGCGGATCACACAATCTTTGTCTGTATTTATTATTCATGGAATGTAGATCTGATTAATGCTTCTATAAAATTACAAGTCAAAACAGTATTTTGCTTTCAGACACGAGAAGATATAGATTTATTCATCACATATGCAAACATTCACATACTGGAATTGATAATTTGGTCATATATAACAAGCACCTAGGTTAGATTCTAATTGTTGAACAGTTTCTTGTGTAGCTCAGAACTCAAATATGTATATGTGTGGGAGAGGGGAACCACATCAAGTGTTTTGTCTTTTATCTATTTTTTAATTTTTTTTTTTTGACAAACAATTGAATATTTTGTAGTCTCATTATTGTGTTTTGGACCTCAACATTAATCAGGTTGACACAATACCCTCTACCAACTGGATATTAATGTTTATCTATTTATTTGATTCATCCGTTTTATTTATTTATTATTTTCATTAATGAGTCAATTACAATATAATTTGTTTTATTAAATTTTTGAAAATTAAGGTCCTCTGATTTCAAATGGTTTATTTCTCAGCCAATCACAGCTATGATTTCAAATGGTTTACTTCTCGTACTTTTCCTCTCTTTTTTCTATATAAAGTTCTCATTCGAACTTTTGATGTCTTGATATGAGTCAGTGCCGATAAAATACGGACATAACAGTATTATAGCTGGCTTCAGTCTTCCTACATAGATATTCAGTCAGTCAATGGTTTTCTTGGAAAATATCAGTTAGTCTGTTGCTTGCTGGAACCATGTTTCAAGTAAATTTTCACCTATTACTATAAATTTGATTAATGATATTTGTTTTTAATAGATTAATTATGGTCTTAATATTTCTACAGTGGGTATACTTTGCTGCGTGACCCACGCCACAACAAAGGGCTTGCCTTCTCTGAGAGAGAGAGAGATGCCCATTACTTGCGTGGGCTTCTGCCCCCAATTGTTGTGTCTCAGGAGCTTCAGGTTACCTCCTTTGAGCTCAAGCCCATCTTCTTAATATTTCTTTTATCCAAATTAGACCATTCTTACTTACCCTTTCTAGATTTGTGGTAATTAGGAGAGGAAAGTGATGCACAATCTCCGTAACTATACCGTTCCACTGCAAAGATATGTGGCCATGATGGATCTTCAGGTATATGTCCACCCATTCTTAGTTACCCTTTTTATGAATTTTCAGTAAAATAAAAGCAGTACTCTTTGCAAATCATATCAGAGATCAGTGGCATGCCAGTTGCGTGTCAACAGATTGGTTGGGTATCAGATATTTGTATATCTAAATCCAATCTGTACAAAAACATTATGTCTTGGTAAGGTTTTAATTTATCTGGTTCAATCTCTAGTATGACACTGGAGGACTGTCATACTACAATTTAGTTGTAGACACTAATTGTATGGGATTGGAAGATATCCCAAGCTGATAATAACTGCCACACACAAGATAAAAGGGCAAACCTAGTGCATGAGCCTCCTGCCATTGCGGGGTCTGGGGAGGGTCAGATATACCCAGCCTTACCTCCACATGCGGAGAGGCTGCTTCCTTATTTCCAACCTAATGACAGTCCTAATTACTGGTGCTGGATTTCTTTTTCTTTTGTGTTGTAAGACACAGCACACACACACAATTGCCCTTTATGGAACTGGAACCCTTAACTTTCCTCCTGGAAGTAAAGGGACTACCACTAGAACTAAGCTCTTGGCAAAGGTGTTGGATGTTAAATAGTGGGGAGAAGCAGTTCTGATTGATTCTATTATTAAAATTTCCCATTTTGTTATATTTTGCAGGAAAGAAATGAAAGGTTGTTTTACAAGCTTCTCATTGATAATGTTGAAGAACTGCTTCCAGTCGTGTACACTCCAACGGTTGGTGAGGCTTGTCAAAAATATGGGAGCATTTTCAGGCGTCCTCAGGGTCTTTATATCAGTTTGAATGAGAAGTATGACTTTCAGATTGAATTCATTTTACTTTTCCTTTTATCTTTTTTTATTTTTTATTTTTTATTTTATTCATTTTAATTATTTCAGTTGTTGATATAATGTGTTAGTTGAATAGTATCGAAGTAGCTACTGAGTAGTGGAGTTTTGCAGGGGAAAGATTCTTGAAGTGTTGAAAAACTGGCCTGAGAAGAATATTCAAGTTATTGTCGTAACTGATGGGGAACGGATTCTGGGGCTTGGGGATCTTGGTTGCCATGTGAATATGCCTTTTCCTTTTCACTTTAAAATTCATGATCAAGATTTTAATCATGCATTGTGACATGAACCCACTCCCACTCCCTCTGCCTCTGTGTGTGAGTGTGTTGGATGTTTTGCTAGTTTGATTTACCAAAACATTTGAAATGTTGCAGGGAATGGGGATCCCAGTTGGAAAACTTGCTCTATACACAGCACTTGGAGGAGTCCGTCCTTCAGCAGTATGAATTTGCACTTTTTTGTTTGATTAATTTTCTTGAGTTGTTTCGTTTGTCCTTTTGTTATTGTTTGAGTAGAATCAAATTATAGAGTGAAATTTGGCTTTGTGTGTTACTCTTCACCATGAGACTAGTGCTGAATTAAGTTCTGAATTAATTAAATATTTTCGTAACTATAGCATTAATTCTACTTTATTCTTTATAGTTTAGTGTTCAGAATGGCAGATAATGCAAATCAGTCCATTTGAAATTTATATATTAAATTAAACAATCAGGAATGATAGCTTGCTTTACGCATTTGAATTTTTATTGTTGTTAGTTAAGTTCCTCATTTCTCTAAACCACATATAATATTGGAATTTCAAATTTGTCTATATGCCCATCTGTATGACCTGGGACTAAGATGGCTCTGTCGTGCTGAGTTTTATCTGACATTAACTGCCATTAAGTACCCTCTAAGAACAACTTTGAGATTTATTTGTCACATGAACCGTTATAAATAGGCCAAACATATGATTAATCAACAAGATCCTTATCCATCTGCGTTATGAAAATTAACTTGCTGTGTTAACAATATACAGTGCTTGCCTATAACTATCGATGTTGGCACAAACAATGAGAAGTTGCTGAACGATGATTTCTACATTGGGCTCAGGCAAAGGAGGGCAACTGGGGAGGTATGATGATTTTCTTTCGTTTTTAGCTCTTCTGTTTTCAGTCAAGAATAAGTCTTTTTTTTATATTTGTGAAATATATGTTTTCTGTTACATTGATGTAGCTTTTACTTCAATTTTTTAGGAATATTCCGAGCTTCTGGAAGAGTTTATGAGTGCAGTTAAGCAGAACTATGGGGAGAAAATCCTCGTACAGGTGAGTCATTAGTATTGAATATACTGGTAGATATATATATATATATTGCTTGGCAAGAAGCACACTCACACACCCACTTGCCCCCATGGGGACATGAACCCTCGACCTTCTACTTTGTTAGGCGAGGGCTAGGCTACAGCCTTTGGTGGTGTGAATATAGTGGTAGATATAGGTACTTTAACCTTTTGGCACACACACACAGACACACATATATATATGATTACACTTCTCTTAATACTTTAAACTTATTTCTTCAGTTTGAGGATTTTGCTAACCACAATGCATTTGAGCTGCTGTCAAAATACCGCACAAGGCATCTTGTGTTTAATGATGATATACAGGTAACATGGGGTGAGAGTTTTTTTTCATTAAAAAATTTCCTTTCGAGGAAATTTGTCAAATCAGCAAGTTCTTTTCCTTGTTTCAGGGTACAGCATCTGTGGTATTATCAGGGCTTGTTGCAGCTCTGAGATTAGTTGGTGGAACCTTGGCTGACCATAAATTCTTGTTCCTGGGTGCTGGGGAGGTGAGCCTTGCATACATTTTATCAGGAGATCTCTTTTCATATTTTGTCATGTAAAGTATAAGTGAAGCTAGAAATAAAGCAAATTGTTACATTGTAATCTTTAGTTGTTTGTGTACAATTTGTGACCTTGGACCGAAGATGTGTAAGTAGTTTATACATCAAAATCTTCCATATTGGTGAGTCCATTATTTCCTTACCTAACTTGCCCGCATTTCAGATCATTTCATTCTCTAAGATTAGTAAAGTGTATTTTGCATTTCTTGTTCCCCAATTTCGCAAGTGTGCTATTTCGAACAAAATGCATGCTTACTTTATTGAAACTTGTTAGCCATCAGATTCGTTTATTGGTCTTTTCCCTTTTCTTGTTTTTGTTTATATATCCCGTCTCACTGTTCTCTCTTCACTCTTGGAAATTGAAGGCTGGAACTGGTATAGCAGAGCTTATAGCTCTTGAGATATCAAATAAGGTATTAACTTACTACGCTATCTATTATCTCTCACTTTCTTCAGCTAAGTTCTTTGATAAATTATCTGACTATTTGTTTGGGCAGACAAAGTCTCCATTGGAAGAGACTCGCAAGAAGATTTGGCTTGTGGACTCAAAGGTAGTAGGAGCCCGGTTTCAACTTGGCGAAGAATGTTATTAGCCTTTCATTTCCATCTAATCTGTTGTTTGATTTCATTTTTCCCAGTCATAATAATTGTGTGAATTTTCTTACAGGGACTGATTGTCAGCTCACGTAAGGAGTCCCTTCAACACTTCAAGAAGCCCTTTGCTCATGTGCATGAACCTGTTAACAGCCTCTTAGAAGCCGTCAAGGTGTGAAAATCTTGTCTCTGATTGTGCTCCATTGTTTTAACAAAACCAGTCAAGAATTTTTTTAATACCTAACTCTCTTTTGCCAATCTCTCAGGCAATAAAGCCAACAGTGTTGATTGGAACCTCTGGAGTTGGAAAAACATTTACGAAGGAAGTTGTGGAAACCATGGCATCCTTGAATGAGGTTCTCTCTCTCTCTCTCTCTCTCTCTCTCTCTCGGTAATAGTAACCTATCCCGAAGATTTTGACATTGATTTGAATGAATGGCATGCAGAAACCTCTCATTCTTGCTCTCTCCAATCCAACCTCACAATCTGAGTGTACGGCTGAAGAAGCTTATACATGGACCGAGGTAAAATAACAAACAGTTTCTTTTTCCATTCTTCAACTTTAGGTATATATATTATATGACAATCAAGGTCTCGTTGAGTTGAGCCACATATCATATTATTGGTTGGAATTCAATAAACTAAGACTTTTCACCTCTTATTATACAGGGTCGTGCAATCTTTGCTAGTGGAAGTCCATTTGATCCCGTGGAATACGATGGGAAAGTTTTTGTGCCTGGCCAGGTTCTGCTATAAACCATAGTAATTTGTTATCTTCAACCAGATGTTTTTACTGAAATTCTTTGGAAATTCATTTCTATGCTTTCCTCATGTCCTGCAGGCAAACAATGCTTACATATTCCCCGGATTTGGTTTGGGTTTAATCATGTCTGGTACAATTCGGGTGCACGATGATTTGCTTTTGGCAGCCTGTAAGTACACAAATGATTGATGACACTGCTAAAATATTCGTGAACACACAGAGAGTGAGGGGTGTTGCAACTCTTAGGGACCTCAAAAAATCCACGTTATCCAGGCATTAACAAATTTAGAGAATAATTTTACGAAGCATATAAATTGTGCTTCAAATTAAGTGGTTTGAATTAGTTCTGTGAATAACTACATATAATCGATGAATGTTGAACCTTCCTATTCCTTTTCTTTTTCCTTTTCCTTTTCTGTTCTTTTATTTTTCAATGAGGTCTAGACTCACTGTTCAAACTCCTTACTTTATTGGAACAGCGGAGGCTTTGGCAGATCAAGTATCGGAGGAAGACTACGAAAAGGGATTAATCTACCCACCATTCTCCAATATCCGAAAGATATCAGCCCACATTGCTGCTAATGTAGCTGCTAAGGCATATGACCTCGGTGAGCCCCCTTCTCTGACTAGTCTGCTGGCTCCAGCATTCTCAGCCTTCGAATATCTATTAGTTACTCATCATTCATTTTCTTTTTAGGTCTGGCTTCTCGACTCCCTCGACCCGAGAATCTTGTTCAGTTTGCAGAGAGTTGCATGTACAGCCCAGTCTACCGCACCTATCGTTGAGCAAGGATCACGTTCGTTTGCTTTTTAGCGTTCTCACCCTTACCACATATATTTAGAATAAATTTTATGATTGACATGTGTTAACACCAATAAACAGCTACAAGTTTATTAATAAACAGAATTCACTTTCAGTTAGAGAATTGTGTACCAAAAGTTGTTGATTTCTAGTGCAAAGTAAATTTTGTCCCTTCTTGTGAAGTGTTGTGATTTAACCTTGTGTTTGGATGTGGTTTAGGAATACGCAGCTATTATCTTTTAGGCTGTGAACAATTTCTCAGGAGGAACTAACAATACTGAATCACTGTGACATAATTAATTATCTTCCAAGAAAGTTATGATAACAATGAACACTTGAAATCTCTTAGGCAGTGTCGGATTCCATGGATTTAGAGCTTTGGAGTTGGAATTGGTGAAATCTCTTAGGCTATGTTAAATTGCATGGATTTGGAGTTGAGAAAATTTTTGTTTAATTTTTTAAGTTGTTTGTTTTTTTTTTTTTTTTTTCCAATCTCACCTATTTTAATTTCACGGTTTCAATTCCATACAGTCGAACACAGCCTTGGAACTTTCTACCACTTAAATTAGCGGGCATTAAGGAACAGACAAAGCAATTAGCAATGAAACTAAAAACAGCGACAAATCCGGTGATCAATCATATATGTTTTGTAGCCCAAACTATTTTTCTTGGGCCTTCGGGCTTGCTAGTCCCTTTTGTTCATAGGCCTATTATTATTCTGTACATATTACATTTATATCTATACAATTTAGTTCAATTTGACAAAAAAAAAAAATGCCAATAAGAGGTATCTTAGGTTTATTTCTCAATTTTGTTAGAAGTTAGAACAGGAGCTTTTTGAATATAAATATTGTTTATTATTATTATTATTATTTTTTCTGAAAGAGCTTCTGATGTAAGAAACATCATACAACAAAACAAAACATGTAACAAACATGCCCTTAGCTTGTTACATTTGTTTATAGTTCCAACTTTCTTGGGGTGACAAAGGAGGGTCGTGGTGTCAAATGAAGAATAATATTGTTGAACGGTCATCTACACGTACAATTGACAATCCACATTTGGTACATGAATATACTAGCATTTCACAAAAACTCATCCTATGTCAAGCATGCTCTCAGTAACACATACTCTAAAACAACAAAAACACATCTAACTACATCCTCAATTAAATCATTAACTCTGGGTAGCATTTTCTGGAAATCTTTTATCATATAACTCTCCATCTTAGAAGCAAAACCTGATAATAGGCAAGCATGAAAATGCTTGTACTAAATAATCCTACTAAATTATCGAACCATACATGAACAATTATTCTCACCAAGTAAGCTGGTCTTTACACCAGAAAATCAGAATGCAGCCGAGAACCAAACAGCAGCAACAATAAGCGAAAACAAAACCTGAAACAACGAGATAAACAATACCTGACATTACATAATAGACCAATATCCGAATACAGCACGAGTGCTCCTACAAGCAACAAGTCGGACAATCCCGTGATAGCCAACAATCTCATCTAGACCGCATCTACAAACACGCAAGAGCGTCACATACACAGGATTGATTTTTTAAGGCATTTTAATCAACATGAAAACAAATCTACCTATGATTTCGAGAAGTAATTACAAAGCCTTTTATCAGATCTACAACCACAACATGCAAGCTATATTCTCAACAGATGAAGACTTAGTTCAAATTGTTAGACTAAAAACCCGGCTCTTGGATGAAAGCGAGGAGATATACACAGGCCCCTGCTAGATCGTGACTTAAGTGGATTCGTTAAACATCATCGCATGTCATCGGCAACTTGGGAACTCCTAATGCCCCAAAACGACCTGGGCTTCAATCTCTTATTTGTGGCCGTAAAAAGCCACCCCATTTGGCTTTCACAAGTGGCACATCGTGCAATTGTCCACGCATACCTGCAAACAATGGTTTATCAGTAATCAGCATTATCATATATCAATCGCATGGAATAAAACATCAGATCATACAGCGAAACAATAGCAGCGGAAATCAAATTTCAGAGTACCTTCTCCCATGTATTAAAAAAGTCCAGGACTTGTACATTTGTCCTCGAGCATTCTTATTACCAATCTTAGCATACATACATAATCCAGTAATTACAACTTGCAACTCACCGAATATATCGCACGTTATAACTGAATTATTAGGCAGATTCCCAAGGTGCTGGATATTATAGAATGATAACATACCACTTATATGCCTACAGGCTACAACATACTGCATTTTTGCTACTTTATAAGGTAATTTAATTCAAGATTTCGTCCTGTTAACTCACAGCTGACAAATTATTTCCAACCACAAACAAATTCTGCAATAGCAAGCTACCGTTTACAGCTCAAATTACCTTGAGAAAGTTCATCAAGTTAAATCATACTACAAAATGTAAAAAATTTAAATACTACATAATAGAGAAGCGGGGAACATCTACTCAATATAGACCATTATCAACTACGCAGCTGTTTCCAGCCAATCATACTAATACACCTTTTTTTCCATCTTCAATCCTCCATTACAACGTATTACTAGCCACTTAACCAAACGAATAATAGAGATATGACCTCAATTCTGCTGGGGAAACATTTGATTAAGTAGCCATATACAATATACAATGAACATGAAAATGTAAAGACGAAAATTTGGAAACTATCATCAAATTGAAATAGATCCCACATGACTAAAGCTAGTATTTGCAAGTACAATGACACATTGAAACAGTTTGTTATTGTTTTACAGAATTTGAAGACCAAGTAGTGCAATATAGACACACCACCACCACCACCATCATACAAAGAAATGAGGTTCCTTCTGAAGCCCTAAAATGCCCTCTACAGAAACATGTCAAAAGAGAATGCAAGTATTAAACATGATAAGAAGAGCCCAAAGGATCATCCCGATCCAATATAAAACAGAATTGACTGATTCAAAATCCACTTAGCATTTTAATGCCAATTAACTAATTTCATTTTCTGAATATATATGGCCCTATGTGTCTGGATTTAGTGAAAATATCCCAGGAACTAGAGACTGAATCTTACTGATTCGAATTCCAAGTAACATTCAAATGCCATGCAACTAATTTCATTCTCCAAACATATATGATGGCCCATAAAGAGTCAGGACTGAGTGAAACATCCCAGGAACTAGGAACTGAATATGGCTTAAAGGTGTCCAAATTGTTTTAATTTTCTTCTAAAAGAATAACAACAACAAAAACAACAAGATGACAATACTGGAGAAGTACTTAACAATCCATCAAATAGCTTAATTCCCTACTCGCCTCAAGGCTTCAGCAAAACTTAAATTTGTTTGTGCCTTTAGACAGATAACTCTGCAACTATGAGTAAAAATAGTCATTCTTAACAATCTCAAAGATTTGAAGATAAGAAAGGTTAAATCCGTACCCAGGAAACCAACTATAATCTTTAATTGCATGGCCAATGAGTGCTATGCCATTTGTTTTGTAAAGAGTCATTATCTCATGCACAAAACCATCTGGGTTCACATAAGCACCAAGAGGACCTTCACTAGACATCACCAGCATATCGCTCCGTCTTCCAATTACAGTCTGCACAACGAAAAATGTAATAAAATAATTCAATAGCTGGCAAGACAGTAATTAAAAAGCTTCACATGACAGGACCTTGTATCACCTGACAATTTTTGCATCGAACACGATCAAAACTCTCAAGCAACTCAATTTCCCGGCGCAGTCTATAGGAAATCCCATCAATGTCCAGAAGTTCCTGCCTCGTAGATTCAGACACAGGAATTTTACTGGCAATATGAAATGATAAAAGATCTGGCTTATTCACAAGCCCATCCATTTTTGGTTCCCCAACAATTTGCTTCCACTTATCTGCAATATTTCAACACACAATCATTTATGTCACCAACAGATACAAGTACCATAAACAAGTTCAAACTTATTAACTCAACAACTGCAAACAGGAAGGAACAGATAAAACCTCAAGTTGCAAAAACACGGACATGATACGACATGAATATCCAAAACTTCAAATCCTAAAAGAGAATGAGACAGACATTGTGCGGACACAACTATATACAAATACAATTTTTTATTAATACATATTACACCTATTGAATAAGACAATTATATAACTTTAATTAATATTTAGTTTCTATACTAAGAGTTTCATAATTTAGAGGATGAAGCTATGAGAATATCTTGAAGATTTTTATCCATGTTACTTCTCTCCTAATTTGTCTTTAGAATTGTGTATTTTTCCTACATAAAAAAGTGTAATTACATGCTTGAATTGTTATGACCATATGAATCATGTCAATTTTTCATATAAAAACAAAGGGTGGACATTTTGAGGTGTGTTTATATTATTTCCAAGACTGTTGGACGTGGGTACTCTTTGATGTCTAGGATGTGCCAGTCAAATGTTTGGAATGTTGACGAAGTGTCCAAAATAGGGAATATATTTGAAATGCCGGACAAGTGTCTAGGAGTGTCCATGAAGTGTCTGACACATGTCCAACATGGACTCAGCATTTTAGACAAAACTTCATCAATTGCATTGTTACTGTTGTTCACCACTTGATTTAAGAAATGAAACAATAAAAGATTATGAAAAAGCTTCACTAATAACATGGGATAATATGAAGAGGTAAAATTTATGAATTTGCTTATTGTCATTTAATATTTGAAAAGATATGGTTATAACCAAAATGGTTGTAGAAGTTTATAGAATTGTCCAAAGGTGAATTAAATTAGCATCATATATTTGAGATTTTATCGACAATAAGAATTTCATTAAGAAAAGAGGGAGATAAAAAATGTACAACACAAAGAATATCTTAAACAACTGCAATAGGTGTACTAAAGTATTTCTAAGACAGAATCTTGAGCTATAAAAAAACTAAATTACCACTTCGACTTATCTTAACCCAAAGCCTAATGCAATTAAAATAAATCAAAATTAAATTACCACTACAACTAATCTTAACCCAAAGCCTCATGCGATTTAAACAATTGACAGAAGGATAATCATGGAATCCAGAAAACCTTCTGTCTCTAGATTAGATTGTACCTTCTCTTTTCCTTTGCATAACTATCACAATTCATCTACCTTCACTGATGTGACCTCCAGATAATGTTCTTTTATGTATAGAGAGATATATGTATGTATTATATCCTAATTTTTTTTATTAATTTATTAATTTATTAATTTTTATTATGAAGTACCTTCAAATAAGCATTTATGCACTATCCAAGGATATGTGAGACGAAGCCCCGAAAACAAGGAGACATGCTTTCCATAACGAAGAACATATACCATACTAAAGCTGCTTGAAGCAGAATGGCTATAGTGCTAACAAGAAATTTAAAAAGTGAGGGATGAGTTATAAGGGAGGAAATTTGGCCCAGCCTGCTGGGTTTCCACCTCCATTAGGGGCAGGTGTGGTGAGACATTAAATGGTAGATGGGCGTATAACCTGACACACAAGTTTTTTGTCCCAAGACCGCTCCATTTATATAATAAAATTATATCAATATTTAGATTTAATATTCTTAAATATCCTTAAGTGTGTGTGTGTGTGCGTATATATATATATATTCTAGGGTTTCTTAGTTCTTATTTTCAACTCTATCAAACTCTCAGCCGCCACACACCTCCCCCCACTGTCAGCCGCCTGCCGCGCCTCTCCGGCTCCAGCAACGACAGTCAACCTCTTCTCCAGTCTCTACCCCTCCTCTTACCAGCTTCAAGTGTTTATCTCAATTAGAACCACAGTAACACCAAAACATCAAATAAAATTTCTGAACTAGAAAAGATTTTTTTTTTAAAAGTAAAGCATCCAACTACCTGCCGCCCTTTGAGCCAGGCAATATGAATCATGCATACGGTAAACCCATGAGGGCCAGAACGCCCTTGGAACTTCACGCAGCCCACTTATTGAGTATTTATTCCACGCTACCCCTTTGCAAGATGGCTTTCCCGAATTAACTTTTTCCCCAGCTCCAAGGGCAATATTTTTCCTCCTTTTGTCATCATATGGAAGCAGAGTCCCTATGGAGTCATTCAAATGAGATATTCCCGCTAGGGGCTCTGGCTTGCAAACAAAATCCCCTTCATCACTACTTGTGTCGTCAATTCTATCATAACCATAATGGGAAACAGTAGCGGATTCGTGCAATCTCCTTTCTGTTAGCGAAAGCTGGCTTTCAAAACTTTCCTCCGATGTTGCATCAGAATCATCATCTTCATTTCCATATCCTTGTCGTTTAGCCTGAGAAGCACTTAAAGGTAGTTTTTGCAAGAGCCTACCAGTACGCAGATTCCTTAATGGTGCCAGCTGCCCAACTGCATCCCGTGGAGTCCTTAATGGCAAATCTTCTTGGATAATTTGAATTTCTCCAAATGGCTAAAAGGAGGAAGATCATAAGATAAATCAGCATTTGAGTTATAGGTAAAAAAAATAATAATAATAAATAAAAGAAGAAGAAAAAAAATTCATTTTCTTAGCATGAAATTTGTTCTTACTACTCCTTCCACATCAGCCCAGCGGCGTCTTAGATGAAAGCGCTGTTGGCCACGGGTTACCACATTCATTGAACCATCCTCTAATCGCCTATATTGCCGAATCTTCAATGCACATGTAGCAAACAGTTAAGCGAGAAGATAAAACAATCTTCAGAGCTCAATAATGAAAATTAAATCATAAAAGGCATAAATGACAAAATTACTCATATAGTGAGGCAAGACATCAATTAATGAGTATGCATGCAGGATCATGAATCACCAAAATCCTTGTGGTTGAGTAAACAACCCCAAGTCAAGAAGCATATGCTGTATGCTTTTGGGGCCAAAACCAACACAATAATATTCAACAGTCTTAATTACAGACAAGAAATGCTTTAAGCAAAATATTTAAAAATAAGAAATAAATAAAGAGGGGGAAAAAGGAAGGAAGAAAAAAAGAGCTCTACAGAATACTGTATCATGCTTCAATATATTAAAAAAGATTCCTCCCACATATACAGGTCAAAATCGAAACTAGTTAAAGTTTGTTATTCAAATTCTCGAGACCTATTCAAACCCCTCTTAAGTCTGGATCACAGATCTTGCGCTAATTCTACATCAGAGCCTTGGATTACGGTCCTAGATTTCTCATTCCCTCTTAACTCTAAAATACTCAATGCCAGCATCTTAGAATGATATAAGTATGCAGTGACATAAATAGCTTACAGATGGGGCTAACCATACAATCAGCAATTCTCTGTTGCTACTTGAATAGAGTAATTGGTTGCTGACTGAACCAAGAAAAGAAGAAAGGGAAAAATATGTTTCTATAAGATGTTGGGTCACAATAATTAACTAAAGAAGTATTTTGCAATTATTTGAGTCTCTTGATTTTTAGCATGAAGCTGTAGAAAATGATAAATTTCATTGTTTCCCTCTCCTCCCTCAATTTTCAAGGAAATGTTCAAAAATTTCCAACAAAACACATACTTTTTGTTTTTACACCAAAATCTCTTTGGGTGCAGATTTCCAAGGCAATAAGAACCTTCAATTCATACTCCTTGTCACATGTTTTGTGTCTGTCCACATATTGGGAGGATTAGGGTGGATGGGGAGGTGATTAGTAAGGAGGAGGAGATTTGTAAGGGTTTTGCTGATTTCTTTTCAATGTTGTTCACTGAACCGGCTGGTTGGGGACCCTTGCTGGCAGGGCTTCATTTTGACTCTATTTCGAGTGAGGAGTGTTCTATTCGGAGGAGCCTTTCTCTGATGAGGAAGTTTTGTCTGCTTTGAAGAGTTGTAACGGGGATAAAGTCCCAGGTCCGGATGGGTTTTCCATGAGATTCCTTTTGGAGTGCTGGGAGGTCGTCCGAGAGGATGTGATGGGCTCTTTTCACGCTTTCCATGCTCATGGCTCTTTTAAGAAGAGTTTAAATGCCACTTTCATTGCCCTCATTCCGAAAAAGGGAGGGGCGCTAGATGTTAGGCATTTTTGTCCTATTAGCTTGGTGGGATGTTTTTACAAGTTGATTGTTAAAGTCTTGGCCTCTAGGTTGAGGAAGGTTCTGGATGGCGTCATCTCTGACTCTCAGAATGCATTTGTGGGAGGTCGTCAGATTTTGGATTCTGTTCTTATTGCTAGTGAATGTGCGGACTCCAGGTTGAGTAGTGGGTTCCAGGTGTTTTGTGCAAGCTGGACATTGAGCAGGCTTACGACCATGTGAGTTGGAGTTTCCCCCTCTATTTGATGGAGAGGATGGGATTCGGGGGGCGATGGAGGAGATGGATTCTTTTTTGTATCTCTGGTGCTCGTTTCTCTTTCCTTGTGAACGAAGCTACGGCAAGATTTTTCTCTAGTTCGAGGGGCTTGAGACAGGGGGATCCGCTTTCTCCTTTCCTTCTCCTTTTTGTGATGGAGGCGCTTAGCAGATTGTTGAAAAGGCCTATTGAGCTTGGTTTTTTGAGAGGCTTTTGGGTGGGCAAGGATGTTGCTAGTCAGTTGGAGATCTCTTACTTGATGTTTGCAGATGATACTTTAGTTCTTTGTGATGCTGAAGCGTCCCAGCTGAGACATTTGAGATGCGTCTTGGTTTGGTTCCAAGTTGTCTCTGGGCTTGAGGTGAATGTCGGAAAGAGTGTTTTAGTGCCGGTTGGGAATGTTCCTGATATCGAGATTTTTGCTCAGATCTTTGGATGTCGCACTGGCTCTTTCCCCATTTCTTACTTAGGTTTGCCTTTTGGGAGCCCCTTCGAGATATGTAGGGAGTTGGGATCCGGTGGTGGATAGATTTGAGAAGAGGCTGGCAGGTTGGAAGAAGTAGTACCTCTCCAAGGGGGGGCGGGTCACTCTGATTAATAGCACCCTTTCTTGCCTCCCCACATATTTCATCTCCCTTATTTAGATATATTCTTCTATGGTTAAGGGAGTTGAGAGATTGCAGCACAACTTTCTTTTTTTTGGGTGGCGGGAGGGGGGGGGGGGGGGGGGGGGAATATTTTTTTTGAGCTGGACATATTTTTTTGAATGCCCCTAATGGAGGAGAATCTTAAGGTGGCCTTCTTTGCTTGGACTTCTGTCTTGGGTAGAATTTTATCCCAGGATAATTTGTGGAGGAAGAATCAGGTGGTTGTCAATCGTTGTTACTTGTGCCTGCGCAGTGAGGAGACAGTTGATCACCTTCTGTTGCATTGCAACATGGCTAGAGACTGTTGGGATTTGATGATTGGGTTATTTGGGGTCCCTTGGGTTATGCCTTGTTCCTCTAGAGGATTGATTGAGGCTTGGAGAGGTTTCTTAGTTGGGGTTCTCATTCAGGATGGTTGGAGGGCTACGCCTCTCTGTAGATATTTTGATGAAAAGGAGAAGCCTATTTCTATGCTTAAGTTCTCCATTATTTCCACTATTTTTTGTTGGGTCTCAGGGAGAGATTATCGATCTGTAGAGGAGATTGTTATTTTTTTGCCCTCTTCGAAGGCTTGAGGCGTTTTGTGACCTTTTGTTTCTTTGGGATTCGCTCCCTTTTTGAGCGCTTTTTATAAAAATCTTACTTATCAAAAAAAAATATTTATTTATTTATTTTTCCTAGTGGAAATTCACCCCACCACCTTAACCCTATGATGGTACTTGAATCCCCGACCTTCCACTTTGGAAGGTGAGGAAGTGCCACTACACTATAGGCCTTAGCCGTATCTCTAATCCACATTTATTGAAATATGAGGTCTTTTGTTGGGGTGGAGTCTCCAATAGTGGTGACAAACTATACTATTCTTAGTTCTTTATTTTTTGGGTACATGGGAGAAATTGTAAATCTAAGGAGCTTTTAGTGTCTTTTGTGGATAGCTTGGGGGTATAGCTTTTTGGTTTATCTTTTGTAATTGCTCCCTTCTTGAGTGTTTTTCAATGAAATCTTACTTATCAATATATATATATATATGCAATAAAGCACTCTGCTTTCACACATCATAAATCATTTGGGACAGTAGTACCAGATAACTCGCCATATCTCAAACTCCAAAATATAAAAACATAAATTCCAGATCTGAATCTTCTTAAATCATTTAATTATTTCGTCAGCAAGGATTTCCTTTTTCATTTTTCATGATCCATTTTGTGACAAAATTCATAATTGAAGACGCAATAATCCAGTAAATAGAGGGAAATTTTGTTGATAAAACTTGCAAAAAGCACAACAGAAATGTTTAAGAAGTCACTGCTAAAAACACTTGAAGAGACCATCACAAATATATTCAACAGCGCCAACCTTATACTATATTGAAATCCTATCCAAGTGCAAAATGCAACTAATCAAGCAGGCTTTGCTAGAGACAACTTAACATTCCCCTGTGAAATTACAATTTGACTTTATAAAAGAGATTTACATTTGAGTATATAGTCATGACCTATTTAGTTGTTCTATATATCCCTAAAGAATATGACACAAATAATCAGGAACTATTTATCTGTTCTATATAAATACCTAAAAAATTAGGTAAAAATAATATACACCTTGCACGTGAAATTGTGTTTAACACAATGTTGTCAAGATCAAAATTCTGCATAGGATCAATGGGGAATCCATAAGATCAGAATCATAGGATCGGATTGAGAATGATAAGATTCTACAAAACTAGTAGCAAATTAACTCAAACTAACTTTCTAATATAATATCTTTTAAGAGAGAGAGAGAGAGATAATACAGCTAAAACACATCGAAATACTACAAGTAAGTGTAACATACAACAAGCAACAAGTTCATCCAAGTATGTTGGAGAATGTAGCTCAAGAGGCTATTGTTGCAGCGGTCGCAAGCCATAACTTCTGATTTTATGTTTTTAACCTTGGGATTGTGGATCATACAATCCTACCACCACATCGCAATTTTAACAATCATAGTTCTTTTAACGTGTATTAGTCATACAAACAGGCCAGTGGCCTAGCGGTACCAAGCTCCTACTTCTCAAAGAGAGGTTAGGGGTTCGAGCCTCAGTGGAGGCATGTGTGTTTGAGTACCAACTAGGAAAAAAAAATGTGTATTAGTCGTTGATCAAGCCAACAAAATGCTAATGTGCTTCAGAGGTTCTAAACTTTTTATGAATTAAATATAAACATGTATAAGGATGGGCAGTATGATTCTGTAGTCTTACTTCTGCAGTTGTCCCAACGGTTGCAAATCTTATCCTCCTATTATCAGGATCCTTATGAACACGAACCTGAAAAACATCTTAAACATCATGCATGCTTTAAGTAAAAGACTAACAAAATTTTTGAAAGAAATACCAGGCACAAAAAGGGTCCACATACCACGCCGATAGTGTAGGGAGCATCAACCTGCCTCAGTGCTCTTTCCACAGCAGATATAAAATTAGATTGAATAACTCTTAGAGGAAGGATGGCTTCTGGGAACAGAACAACTCCTGACAAAATGATAAAGGTGAGAAGTCTAAAGAAATGATGAGGATGACGTTAATAATAATAAAAATGATCATGAGAATATATCCCAAAATGCACATAATATAATACAAATTTTGAGGCACTTTACTGTTCCCCCAGCCATACAACTACTTCATTGCACTATGACAAAATCACTAATTCTCAACTCTATGCTACTTTAAACACCTATGCTGCATCCGATTGGTACAAATGATGGAAAACTAGAGAAAGGGAATGTTTGAAGGCAAAAAGAGGTACCTCTAAGTGAAGGAAGGAGCCTTCCCCTCATATTATTTGGTTGACTAAAAAGGGAGTCTTAAAACAGAAGAGAAAGGGTATGGCGTAATTTAACCATTACAGTAATTAACGATTAAAAAAATCTTTTAAAGGGTATTGTTTAATTTAACCATTATACTAAATAGCAATTGGAAAAGAAAAAAAAAAAAACTTTTTATAGAAGGCTAAAAGAATAAAAAGAAGAGGAAAGAGGTTTCTGCACACTTCTAGGCAAAACCTCCTCCCATCCTTTCCCCTATCCTCTCCCCTCTACCAAAACAAGGGAAACCTTCATCACTATTACTGTCCTATCTCACTACCAAACATAGCATTAATGTTTCAAAAACTTGAGAAGAGCCATACCTTAAGTGACTATTTCATTTTCCATAAAAAGGGGTCGAGAACTTTGCATCACTACAAAATAAGCTCGTAGCTGATGAAGGTAAATGATGATGTGCAATTGTTTATAGCTGACATATTAGCAGTACTTCTAGAAGATGAAAAAATCACAATTAGACACACACACACACTGAGTTTTTGAACATGGAAATGAAAGGTCGCATCATTATATAGAAATAATTGACCCCATAAATCCCACATCCTGAATGGGTCATGTAAGAAAAGTGTTCCGTTTGTTGAGTAATATCGCAGTGGTGCAAAATTTTTTTGCTGAAACAGTGATAAGAAATTAGAAAGTATAATTTACCTAAAAATTCAACCCATCCTTATCAACTGTTATAATAAACCCCATTTCTTCAATAGTATTCAATTATAGCCATGGAATTTACCTCCGTATGCCACGTGAAACACAAAAAATCCATATAAATTCCACAAACACACAAATGCACTCTAATTAAATACCTTCCAGATAGAACAGAGGTAAGTTTAGCACGGCGCCGCCATCCAAGAAAGCCAACCTACGATGAGTATCCTCAGTCTCTGATACATGAAAGTTGGATCATTAGACTTCCAATAGCTAAAAGAGTGGGAAAAATGGACAAAACTCAAGCAGAGAACAGATGCCTACCACCAAGATAAGTATGTAAGGAAGCCAACGAGGTATTGAAGGTCAATTCACCAGATGCCAAAGCCCCTCCAAAACCACGATCACTTTGGTCCATTACAGATGTGTACAACAGCAGAAACAAAAAACTTTGATCACACAGAGATACAAATCATTGCAAAGCGCTTCTCTAAAATAGTGTAACACTTATAAACTACTTGAAGAAACTATGATTGAGCTCGATGTGGTTTTCAATAATGTGAAAAACAATTGTGTGATTTGAAATCAGAGAAAAGAAACTCAACCACAACTGGATCTAGTAAATTTTTTTTTTTTTTTTTGAAATGCCAAAGCAACGTAAGAGATATATCAATATATCACAAAGGTTTTTTTCGTTAGAAAATTGGCTTAAGTATTTGAGATACATCAACGACTACTTTTTACCATTTTATAAACTTTCATTTGTTTTCCATAGTTTTCAGCATCCCATGAGTGCTACATGAAATGCATCACATTTAAAATTAAGCAATTACACACTAAATTATGAATGAACAACATGTTCTATAAAACACAATTTCAAATTCAAGTAAATGTGCTGATAATTGTTCCAACTGAAAAGATTTCAACCGTTCGCTTTTCCATTCAAATTGAAGCTATAATCAACCGCTAACGACATTTACAGATGAACATGTGTGAGTAAATTAATAGCAAATGAGAACAAAACTTTGAATTAGGGCATGCAAATTCCGAGTATATTCAGAAACGCTAAACCCCAAACACAAATATATACGAATATTACATATCAATGGTATAAGACACTGTTACGGGAATGAATGATAGATTCAATATACGAATGAGTGGTGAATTTATAACATAGACAATTGATTACTTGGTTTCGTCGTCTTCAGATGAGTCCTGAAGGTCCTCGACTTCTTCGACTTGCAATTCCTCCGAGTCGAGCTCTCTTATCTGCTCGATCTGGTACCTTTCTCTCTCTAGGATTCTGTCGTCCTCCATTTTTTTCCTGTATCACTGTGTATCAGTGGATACCTCTCAGATGTGTGTGTTGGTGCGTGTCTGTGTGATGTATAGGAATAGGAATACCCGCCATAAAATGAGATCTCCAGAATTCATGAGTCTGAGGATGTAGGAAACGTGTGTGCACATGCGATGCAGCCGAATCCATTTGGGTCCTCTTTGGTAAATTCGCACGATATCTGTACCACTTTGAAGTTTGAACCCAAAAAAAAAAAAAAAAAATTACTCCCATGGTTATTATATTATTATACATGGACCCAACAATTTCAATCCAAATTGAAGATTTTTTTTTTTTTTGGCCCGACCGAAACTTACTTTAGTAACAATTTCAGTCGAGAGTTGAATTAGTATGACTTTATTTATTAATAATTTAATAAAAAAGTAGATACATTGATAAATTAAAAAAAAATTATTATGAAAGGACAAAATAAATGATGGAGCAAAATTTTTGAAATTTTTATTCAATGCAATTATAAATGATCCTAATGATAAAAAAAAATAAAAATAAAAAGTAGAAATAATTATATTGAAATACAAGAAATCAATAAAAAGTCCTGATCATAGAAATTAATCAATAATTTTGAATAAGGAAAGAGAAAATCAAGAAGACAAGTAGTGCAACATCCATGTTTTTGCTCATGAAAAGCTAAACGTTATTTTTATCAATAACTAGCAAAATATCGATATTGAGATTAATAATTCTACTAAAAAGACGAAGTGATTATTCACAACAATTAGATATTTTTGAAATTAGAAAAGGAAAAGAAATGCAACTGAATTTGAAATGAAATTCTAGTTGTGTGTTTGAAATAAACATAAATTTATTTAAGAATTATATACTTTTTATCATACTAATTAAAATTGATAGTAAATTGGGTAAGTTGCAAACCTACTACTAATCTAATTTATAAATTCCGTTAAATTCCACTATTTTTCATGGAATTTGAGAACATTAAACTTTGAAATTTCAAATACCATGAAATTTATTTCCATTTTAAATTCCTTTGATTCCAAATATGAATTCCATTTTGGATTCTAAATCCCTTTATTAGTTTAAGTCCAATGACAAATGTTTAACAAGTTATAATTGATATCAAAAGTTTAACAAGTTATAATTGATTTCAAAGTAAAGTTTAGTGGAAAATGTTTAGATTCTTATTGATCCTCCTCCTCCCATTTTTGGATGAAAAATAATGTTAGAAATTCTTATCACATATTAAATTTAGGAGGACGTGTTATACCTCCCACTACGTGTACGAGAAGAGGATTTAAGCCATACATATAGTGGTGTAATTTGTTTTTTTGTTTATTTTTTTTTTTTTAAATTTTTTTTTTTTGTAGGCTTTTTCTTTGGGGTGGGGGATGATCAAACCTTTTCATTAAAGAAACAACTTAGTATGAATCAATAGTCTAAAATGAAAATATAAAAAGGGAATAAAGCGGAGCAAATGAAAATCAAAGCACTAAGCTTGCACAAAGAATAAAGGCACCTATCAAAAGATTTAAAGAAAAAGATCCTAAAGTCGGCAATAGCTTAAAATGGAATAGCAAGCCACTGAGAATCAAGACTTCGGCCACAGTGCAAGTTAGACTGAATTCGAAAGCAAGGAAGAATTGAGCAAAGACTAGGGTGCTGTTTGATAAAATTAGAAATTATGCACTGAAAATCTTAAATACTGAATTTTAAGTGTTTAAATTTTAAGTGCTGAATGTATTAATTTGAAAACCGGTTTGATAATGTTTTAATTTTAAGTAAAAATTATTTGTTATATATAAAAACTGAAGTTATACAAATTACATTTTTGCCCTTAATATATGGTACTTATAACAATTTTATATTTATAATATAAAAATATTAATAAAATGACCACATTAATTCACTCAATGAAATATATTAGTTTAACAATGAATAATAATGTCAAATAATCATAAAAAAAAAATAAAATTCTTATCTAGAAATAGAATTATATTATATAAATAATTGATGAAATTTTAAAATATATGAATTTTGGATTACATAACATTTATGTAGGATATCGAAAAAGGTGCTACAAAGATTAAAGAAAGCAAAATTTAAAATATATGGGTTTGGATTACGTAATATTTGTTAAATTGTTTTGTAGGATATAGAAAAAGGTGTTACAAAAATTAAAGAAAGTAAAATTTAAAATATATTGATTTTTGATTACATAATTTTTATGTATGGTATTGAAAAGGGTATTACAAAGAAAGTACGTGAAAAAGAATTCTTATCCAGGAATAAAATTCTATTAAATAAATAAGTGATAGAAAATTTAAAATATATTGGCTTTGGATTATATAATATTTATGTACGGTATTGAAAAGGATGTTAAAAATATTAAAGAAAGTAGGTAAAAAAGAATTCTTAGTTAGAAATATAATTCTATTATATAAATACTGGTGTTAAATAGAATTCTATTATATAAATACTGGTGTTAAATCAATTTGAATAGATAACCAAAGAGACGTATTTATAATATAATAGGTAGAATTATTAGTATTATTATTATTATTTTGAGAAGACTTTTTTAACGAGAGAACTCATTCTATTTCCAAATGCAAAGAGAAATCGCAAAAAGAATTTTCAAGAAATTGCAAAGAAAAGTCTAAATGTCTAAGAAAGAGAGCGTGATTATTTGAGGGTAGGGTAGTCATTAAAAAAATTATTTTAAAACTTAATCACTTACTGTCTTCTGCAATAAGCGATAAGCAACCCTCTCTTCACTTAAAATTTTAGCCTCTTTTAAGTCATACTTACCATACTAAGTGGTATCCTAAAATTTTATGAAACACACTTATTTTTAAAAATCACTTACCGTCTTCTGCATTCAGCGCTGAGGTAGGAAATCAAATAAGTCCTAGGTCATCAACAAATAGCTGCAACTCGGGTGGCTTAGAGGTACAATTTAGGGCTAATTCAGACATGTGAAATGTTTAATTCTCACCTAATTTAATCTGACATCTAACTCCAACTACTCCATCAAAACTTAATTCTACTTTGAATTTTTAAATTTGAATTTGCAATTCGAGTTATCTAAAGTTAATTCGGATTATTTATATGACCGATTTTCACATTAAAAATTTAAAGTGATGCTTAGTTAGTTTACTCGTAAGTACAAAAAAATTTAAAAATTAATGCAAATTTGCTTGAAGTTACATGATTTCTAACCTTATGGACTGACAAAGAAATTAATTATCCATAGTGTTAACATAATATGAATTAAGATTTAAACAAAGAATGTCTAAAAAAAAAAAAAGAGTGATCATAATTTGAATATTATATATAATATATATAAAAATTACAAATATGTATAAAAATAATATTAAAATTTGGTCTTGGAATGGGTTGAGTTGCTTGAAGTCCAACCCTAATTACAAAAATAACATTAAAATTTGGGCTTGCAATGGGCTGAGTTGCTTGAAGTCCAGCCCTAATTATAAAAATAATTACCCAAACTTATTAAAAATTGGGGTTGGCTAGGGTTGGGTTTGGATTTGGATTGGGATTGGACGATCCAAGTTGCCCCCCTATCAAGTAGGAGTGCACAAAAAAATCTGTTTTTACCAAAGGGTCTTTGGCCTAATGGTATAACATCCTCATCTTCAAAGAAGAGGGGAGGGGTTCGAGCCCGAGTGTGGGCAAAAAAGTGTGTGTGTGTTTGCTTTACCATGCAAAAAAAAAAAAAAAAAAAAAAAATCTGTTTAACTTGCTTTATTTGAAAACAAATTTTTTTAATAAAATTGGATTGCTTTGTCTGTGTTTAGATTCATCATCATCATTTTCTTCATGGATTGCTTTGTCTGTGTTCTTTCCATCTCGTTGTTGCTCTTCTGAAGAACACAGACAAGCGAACCACGAAGAAGAAGATGATGGATCTGAATGAATGAGTAACAACGAAACAGACATGAGTAACCCTATGGCATTCAAGGAAGGTTTAGAATATTTTGAAATTCTCAAGCGCCATGTCTTTAGTGGTAAGGTGTGTGTGTGTGTGTGTGTGTGTGTGTGTTGTAGTGACATTGTGGTATGTTTTTACTTATATGATAGGATTAGAAATTGAAAAACACAATTTAATTATGTATAACATGTTTTTTTTTTTTTAATTATTATTATTATCTGTTTTTTATTTTTTTTGAGAGGCTCCCTTGGATTTTAATACAAATATGGTCATTCCATTATTGGTTTATGGTTCTTGGTTATACAATAATTTGCAATGCAAAAAGAATATGTTTCATTTTAGGTGCACTATATGATATGGTGACATGGTAGAGTAATATGTGAAGGAAATTGCTGTTGAGATGAGAGTGTTGTCATTTGAGTTTGCGTCCTCATTACCATTGGATCATGTAGTTGACATCATCAATCACCAACTCTAACTCCAACGGTGATGAGGATGAGAGCTCACTGTTCGATCGCACTATGGTGAGGTGCTTGGTTGCCTTGAAATTTTGGTGCCAACAACTGGTCCAAAGGTTCCAAGGATTTGATAGTTTGAAAATTTTAAAGAATATTAATATCCCTCTAGTGAATTAAAAACTAAACCATAATTCAGGAAATAAAAACTAACCTATAAATTGATCCACGCACATGAAATTTCTAATGATTTTTAACAATTTATCTTAAAAGATAGTGTTCATGTTTCATATTCTTTCTACTGTGCCATTTAATCTCTATTTTCTGTAAGTTCACAAGTCTGTTGCCTTCCACGTTTATTTGCTTGATCCCAAGGCCTAAATATTTTTAGTATTGATACTGCAGTCGTTTTGGTTGAGCCGTATGCTGTGTGGAATCGAATCACGTCATTGAAAGAGACTTTCGTTTTAGAAGAAATACCATCGATTATATATTTTGCAAGTTTATTGATAGAATAAACATGGTAAAGCAAAGTTTTGAGGAATATGTTTTGTATGTTTTGTGTAATTAATTTGTGCATCACAAGTTAATAATCTTCCAATTTTTGTTGAAGTTTTAAATACGAATACAGATGGCATTTGTTGAGATGAATGTAAAGCATTGTAAGAAAAATAATGTTCAGTTGCATCCATCTGTTAGTACTGATAGCATCACTTGTACAAAAATCTGGATTAAAACT